TCAGATTTGAGTTTTGTCGTGGAGAGAGCGCCATAATTGTCAGGTCACAAGCTGCATCATCTGAATGTTTCATCTTCACTAGCTTCAACTTGGGAATAATACTGACACATCGGATTCACCCATGTGTTCACCATCGTTCGGTACTCCTTCGGGGTGTTCTACATCTTCAACTTGATCTGTATCTTCATCAACGACAGTCTCTTCAACTTATACGTCAAAATCCAGATTGATGAATGTACGCACACTCGGTTGCTGATTCATCGCTCCTGCAGCTCCTGCAAGCTGTTGGTGACTCTTGAATATTTTATTCGTAGAAGGATTATAAAATCTGTACGCCTTCGTTTGTTCCTCGCATCCAACCAGTACAGCTTTATGGGATTAGGCGTCCCACTTCTCTCTTTGCTGCTTCGATACATAAGCCATTGCTTTGGCTCCGAAGGAACGCCCATGAGAAAGATCTGGTTAGCGACCGCTCCAAGTATCTTCTATTGTTAGACAATATCTTGTGGTTGGAAAACGGCTGCCAAGGTACGCTGCTGCAGCCGCAGCTTCAGCCCAAAAATTCTACGGTAACATTACCTCAAACAATAAACACCGCGCTCGCTCTACGATGGTGCGGTTTACCTTCACTGCCAATCCGTTTGATTCCGGAGTATTGTCAACTTCAGGGCTTCTGATGTCGGATTCCAAGTATTTTCTAACGCTTTTCGAATGACTTGTTGATGAAGTCTTTTCCATTATCAGTACGTAGAATATTCAGTTTTTGTCCCGTCTGCCGCTCCGACGTGTTGTGGAACGCATTCAGAACCTCTTCTTCCAGTGACAGGTAGTACTTACTGCCACCGAGCGATGTTATCTCCATGGGTTCGCAAATATCTGGGGCCGCATTGCGCATCTCGAAACGAAAGCGTTCGTACAAAATGTCTTTCGATTCGAGATGCGCAATGTGCCCCCTGAATGTACCCCCTCAAGTACATCAGTGGGCTTACTTGCTTCGGAAATGAAAAATCAAGAGCCAAATGTGAAAAGGGCATACGAACTTTTTGTACACAAACTTTTGTAGGACCTTTTCTCGCCCACCGAGGGTCACTCACGTAAACCAACAACTTTATCGGGAAGGGGAAAGGCTGATGTTGATGGTTTGCGTGGCGAGAAAAGGACTTAAGAAGGTTTGTTTACAAAAGCTCGTATGCCCTTTTCACATGTTGTTCTTGAAATGATGTTGCACAGATAACGCAGTTCTCGTATGGAAACTGAATCTCTGTGGCCAAACCATTCTTGAGTTGCTTCAATACATTCCAGTTTTGGTGCCCCATTCTCTTTTGCCAGGTATTGAAATTACTCGAGTAATACACCAAAGACATCGCCACCGGCTTACCTCGCTCAGCAAACCAGAACAAACGCTTCGATTTATCATGAATTACAGTTGCGATAGTTTGCTTGTGCTTGTTTGGGAACGTCTTCCTTCCGAAGAATGCTGTCCAGAATTCCAACCGGTGGAAACTAACGATTTTAAATTAGCTCACTACTTGACTAGCCTATTGGTCCCAAGCATATCGATTAACGTACCCCATTCTAGTCTAAATTCTAGTACTACACTATGTTTGTTTTGATTCGCTATGCAAGTTTGACAGATAAAATGAGGGGTTCGTGGATTTTCCTATGTTTCGAGGGGTGCATCGATCAGCTTGGTACCGAAAATAGTACCATAGCTGAGCCAAAAAGTTGAGCACGATTCTTCAGGACCTTCTGTTTATACTGTCACCAATGATCTTCGATCCAGATTTCTCGATTGCCATAATCATTGGCCGATATTCCTCCGGGAGTCCTGCAAGTAGAAGTGTCCCTACCCATTCTTCATATCTCAACTCCAATGTCTCTGAGCTGGTGTGCAGTAAACACGATCTGGGTCATATACACTTTCCTTGTTCGAAAGACTCGTCGTAATCAGCGTTTTCATTGAAGTTCGTTGGCTTCAAACGCCGCTTCCAGCTTCACCCAGACTTCCCTAGCAGACTTCGAGATTTCGCTTCCTTTACATGCACGTAATTCATCGCACGAGCACGTTTATCCTTTGCCGGCTTGACTTCGGGATACGTCCCGTCTTTATTCGATATCAGTTTCGGTAGATTGTAAGTTTGACTAACCTTGCGTTTAGTTTGTACTTTATAGAGTGTTTTTTTTTTTAAATCATATCTCAAACCTCCTTCTCCCTCTCCCTATCCATAAAACTGTAAATCTCTACTAACCTTGAGACGACCACGAGTGATCGGTTCAATTCTTTTAACTCTAGATTTAAGACATTAATTATGTAAAACGCAAATGATAACTTGGCTCTGTAAAGTTTTTTCGATTGAGCCTGTACAAATAAATTAATGCACAAAAAAAGTAATCCTAAAGAGCTCGAATTTATAAAGAGGCGACATCTTATCCATTTGACAGGTCTTCTGCTCGATTGGAATGATTTTTCCTATGACTTTGACAGACAATCGATTGTTCCAATTTTGACATGTCATCTCTTTATAAATTCAGCCTCTTTAGTATACCCGTACCTTTTGCTATTCTGACCTTCTACCACAAAGCTTCCGAATCAGTAAATTACAGCAGTTACGGTATCAAACCTATTTACGTTAACAACATGGCTTATAAGCCAGTTATCATTTGTATACACACTTAATTTTTTTCGCCAATATTCCAACTGCCGAGTTATTCTGCAAATTTATTTTGCCGAGATTCAGTAAAACAATTGCCGGACTCAGCTAACAAATAACATTTTGCTGAGATATCAGCTAACAAACAGATATTTTGCAGAGATATCAGGAAAAGTAAATGCCGAGGTAATCGGGTGTTGGAGATTTTACCGAGTTAGATTAAGTGTGTACACACTAAGATTTTGTTTCCGTGTTCGGTAAATTTTACCGAAAACAGAACAGCTGAACGTTCGGTAAAACTTTGATCTTCATTTCAAAGGCTATTGAATTTGAAAATAATATCAAAACATGTTCAACCTTGTTTAAATGATCAAATCTTCTAATTTTAGTGGAGATTTAGTTTCAAAGTAGCTGAAAAGCAATTGAATTGAATTGCATAAATTTTACCGAAAAGTTCAGCTGTTCAGATTTCGGTAGTTCCGAAGTCGGCGATAATTTCTAAGTGTGTATGGAAGCTTTTTCTCCTATTACACATTCAGCTTTTATTGCCGTGTTCGGTTTTGTTGTAGGGGAAATGACGGCTTCGGCATGCCAGACTATTTTCGGCAACCCAAATTGAAACACTATTTTCACTGGATTTTCTTACGAAAACACTTCGCATGCAAACGATTCTTTATGCTTTCAGCTTCAATTTGACTATATTTTTACCACTGAGAAAAAGCAATCTAGCAAGGTTTTCTTGAAATGAAACACACGCACTACAAATTGTAGATGATTTCGAGTTGCCGATAATAGAACAGCAGATTTACATGCAGTTCAAATGGAACGGTTGCCGAAGAAAAACTGGTTGCCGACAATACTCGCTCTCACTAGAGAAGATTGGAGCTTCGTTTCAAAACAGTTTTTGACAATTCTTTCGACTGAAATTGTTAGAGCAGCTGGCAGCAAAAGATTGTAAACAAACCAATACTGCATATGTGTGCGTTCCTTAGAGAAAAAGGCTATAGAAACAAGGTCGCTGCTTAGGTTGCCGAGAATACGTAAATTCCCCTACTTGTACCACAATCTAAACAGCTGAACGTTCGGTAAAACCTTCGTTTTAAAGTTCTTCCAACGTTCAATCTTGTTCAAATAATCAAATCTTGTAATTGTTCAAATTTTACCGAACAGTTCAGCTGTTGATTAAAATTTCCAAATTCGGTGATAATTTCTAAGTGCGTATATGTTAATTATTGCCTGAGTTTAGGTAGGGTGAAAGACGGCTTCGGCAATACCTTATTCTATTATCGTCAGGGGGATAAACAAAGTCCTTGAGAGCTCAATTTTGGCATGTGGATACATTGTGTTTCAGAGTATCTATTGGTCAAATTTGAGTGCTCTAGGACTTTGTTTACCACCCTGACGAAAATAAGTTAAGGTATTGCTGAAGCCGATGCTTTAAAATTCCAGAATCTGGAGAAAAAAAAATTGTGTTTAAGGTTTCTAAAAAAAAAATCAAATTATGAAATTCGATCATTGTTTTGAATTTTTGACATGTCTAAGGTGACATGTTAACCTTTTTTAATACCGTTCTACACTGTGCACAAACATCATCCTCTGATCGAATGAAGCCTAGGACCATTCAAAACAAAACACCGAAATCGCTTTTTCGAATGATGGCTGCAACCGGATGACGGGTGTTTTGGAATTAGATGATTTTCCTCTCGAATACAGGATGAAAATTGTTATGAGAAGGGATATGACCTTCAGTTGAAATGCGTAATGCTCTCTGTAGAATGACTGTCATACTAAATGGAAATGCATATGGTATTGGTTCAGCCCCATAACGCAAATCATTCAAAACGATGATGTAAATAATTCTATCGAACGTCATTTGCTGATCTGAGCTGACAAACGAGGTGGAAGCATATGCATCGCTATCAGAGCTGTTACGAACATAGATAAAGGATGAAAAACAATGTTTGGCTAGTTCGTGGTGGAGGAGGTTTTCTCCATCACGAAAAAATTTTGTATCCATAATGGAATGGCTTATTATGGCTTTTCAGTATGGAAATGTAAATAATCAAATTATAAATCTAATTAAAAGCACTTGCATGTCACACTATTCTTAAATGTTTGTCCTCTGAGTGCCATATGTTGCATAGCTAATTTTAAAACGAAAATCATTCTGTATTTGGATGACAGTCATATGGATGTTTATCCTCTGACGACGAATTCAACCATAAGAAAATCATCCGAAATTCGAATGCATATTGTTAAAGGGCTCTAGCAATGCAATAATCATTCAGAGTATTGCGGATGTTTTGGTTCAGTGTAAGAGATAGGATAAGGCCGTTATTACGAACTCACCTCCGTATCCAACGGAATCCGCACTTCCCGCTGCCATTTCTTCAGATCCAAAGTCTGGAAGGTATCCTCAAAGATCATTTCCCCTCCGCAACTGGCCTTACCATTCACGGTCGTAACCGACGGAGCACATGGCGGCTTAGTAGTAGTGGGAATTTTCGTCGTCGTCGTGGTCGTAGTTGTGGTTGTAGTAGGCTTCGTTCCTTTAGGTGTCGGTTGCTTTTCCACGGTATGCTGCTGATTCGATAGCCAGTAAGAACGATTTTCATGCTGTACGTAGACCCAGTAGTAAATGATTTGATCATCCCTGATGGCCTTCTTGGTCTCAAATACCCACCGGCCATCTTCCGGTTCACTCACATCCTCTGCAAAGTCACCTTCCTCGAATTGCTCGAAAGGTTTGTTCATACGAGCGTGAAACGCAAACAGCTTGATTCCGGGAATATCTGCAAATTCGACCAGCGCCATGTTCACAAACAATGGACATTTAGATAATGAATCGCACCTACCAGGGATACTGGCCCGGAAGCCACGCGGCTGCAGATACTCAAATTCTATGTCGGGAATGACAAACTCCTCTGATCTTGCATGATGGAAGGCACAAATTAAGCTAGCAAACACTAAGCACAGAAGATGTCTCATCATGGGACGCTGATTACGAACTGCTGATTAATGCCGCAATGAAAGACCAAGACGCGAAGATCAAGAACTGGGAATCACCTAAGCAGTGTGTGGCGATGTTTTGTAGCTGATTGCTTTCGCGCATTCTCTCGCTCGCTCTCTGTTCTTTATACACAAAGGCACCAGTGGAAGATGCAAGAGTGTTTTGTTTTCATGGAAACAGGTTTCTGTGTGGCTGCAAATCCCCCCGGTACCATCGATGCTACAATTTATGGAATGAATTTGCTGAGGATGCGACTCAACCGATGACTTCAGTATCAACGTATCGAAAGGGGGCGAAAAATAAGGAAATAATGTCGCCTGGCAGTTTGTGTGGTCTGTTTATGTAGGAGAGTTTTGATTCGCTAGTAATTGGCATAGAAAAATGTGAATTAATAAATTAAAAAAAAAAAAAAAACTTGTGTGAATTAGAGATCAATGATGGCACAAGAGCTCTGGTTTTTGACCCTAGAGCCTAACTCAAATTTAAAATAAATGTTCATGGTTTCATTTGCGTAGAAATGCCAAAATCTGTATGCAAGTAAATTTGGTAAATAATGAATTTTGTGATAGGGTTACACTTAGCCTACAAGGATAGAAAATACAGTCGAAACTTGTACGGCAAACTAAGAAATATGCTCTTCGAGAAATAAACATTGGTTCCCAAGTAACAATTCAAGCTGAACAGCAATAGCAGAAACTGATTATTGGTTGATTTAAGGTGTACAAAGCTCATTAACAGCAGGCTGAATATATAGTTGATTAGTAGTGCATGAAGCTAATTGTATCCCGATAATTAAACCTCAATAAGTAAGCTGATCTAGAGATTGAACAAGTCTTATTTTAGCTTAACACTACTCCACAAATCAGCAATGGACTACAAATATTTTGATAACCTGATTTGTTAAATGTAGTTAGTGTCACTCGTTGCATTTCTAGCATTTTATTTCTTCTTAGTACCTTTCTAATACCAAACAGCGGCAGCAGTTGAGACAAGGTAGAGGAGCTTTTTAGGAATAGCTCCAGGTAGACGTGGGCTGCGACGACGTCGGAAGTATTAACATCTGTATTTCTGTGTTTTGACTGCTATATTGCACTGAATTTTCAGACAGAATTCCAAAAATATAACTCACTAAAATAGCTTCCACATGACCATCGAAATAAATCGCGCAATTGTGTCCACATTGTGTTAACTTCACTTTGAAAGCAATGTTTTACTGTCACCAGTTGTTGTTTACAATTCTGAATTGCTGTATAATACTCTTCCGGTTGCTGTTATTCAGCTTAAATTTGACGTGTTTCAAGTTAATGATCATACCTTTTGCCACACACAGTGATGGAATTCTCACCAAAATATCATTTCCGCTTGCGATACGTTTTCTATTGGGAACTTTCCCTCACTAGTTTCACACTCCAATATTTCCTGAGCGAACTTTCTGGGATGAGATAATGAGATATCGCGAACTTTTTTTAACTCGAATCACCAACGTGAGGATACGAAAAATATCAGATCATTTTTTCTCTCTATCTCTTTACACCACATTCGTTCTTGAAAATTGCACTGCACATTTCACAAGGGAAAGATTATAGACAGAAAGCTATCCCGAGTAAATCAATACAATCTCTAAAGACTGTCTACTGGCGCCTGTTGTTCAAAGTAGCCGTTATCAGGATGATGTGAACAGTTTTGTGCAACTGATTGATTGGTGCATTGGTTTCTGGCAAAAAAATGAATGAATCAGCACAAGTGTCAACGCGACATTAACGAGGAACGGGGAGGGTAGTGTAAGATTTTGTGACTAGCAATTTTTATATTAAAACCGTTCCTCAGGATAGGGGGTTGCGGAAGGAGGAGCGCCTAATGTATCCTCATTTTCACGAAATACAGTTAATGCATGGCTCCTCTCATCACTAGTGTTCGTAATGTCGTTCCTGTAAGCTCTTATGCAATAATTATATACAGGGGGATGGTTGGGAATATAGGTGGTGGTGAACTTTTTCACTGTGCTATTACCAGTGCTGTAAATTCTCAAAATCATTTGAACATTTTTGATGAAAATGAGAAAAGTAGCTATTCGCTATCAAAGGGGACCTCCTCCGAATGGGTGATATCAGTTGCTTAGTCATTTGACGAAGGCATGGATCATTCTCATTTTAGAAACGCTATATATCATTCGATTGAGTGTAACCTACACACAAACGGAGCTCTGGTCGACATTCCGGCGAAAAAGCTACACCAACCTGACTTCTATTTAACCCCAACCCGATGTTGACCCGACATTGACCCGACATAAATCCAAAATTGACCCGACATTAACACGACATTGGGTCGACATCGACCTTAAATTACATTGATCCGACATCGGGTCGACTTGTCTGTTCGGGACCATTTTCCTGGATTTCTTCCATACTCCACTGTCGTATATCAAATGATACTGAGTGACTCAATTGACAGTGACAATGAGCTTCGAATGAGAAAGGGGCTCTTCAAATTATGGTCATGTGAGAATTCGTTTACACAGAATTGATTGAATGGTTGTAGTGGTTCATCTTCAATCGAATGATATGAAAATTTACAGCACTGGCTATTACTGTCCTTTCCCATGACTGGGAATCCTGTAAAACAATGTAAAACTAGAAAGGGTCTAGACCCTCCCTATGTAAAACCATAAGGTATGCGGGACTGCTGCACTGCTGAACTGTGTTGTGAATGGCTGTTCAGTCTCGACAAAATCAAAATACTGCTATTTAATTTTTGTCCAACGTTTCGGTCCGTTTGGGACCTTCTTCAGGGACTCAATTTTTACAGTTTTCTAGTCTAGTGTGGTTCTGTGGAACCTGAAGATGTCCCGAGGTCAGAGTTTTCCCGCTCAAACACAAATGGTACGAATTCATTTATCCGTCGAAAACCCTTTCCAATTTCTACGCTCTGGAATTCAGTACACGGCACTAGAATATGCATAAATGACGTAGCATTTGAGGGGGGAGGTGGGGGTTTCAGAATTTGTGACCGGCCATGTATTGGATATAGCCAAATACGCTACGAGGGGGGGAGGAGGGGTCTAAAATTGATCAAAAATATGCTACGTCATTTATGGATGCTCCCGTAGAGGAATGATTCATTTGGTATAGTATAGTTCGCTAGATTGTGCTTTGATTCGTGAGAAATCGCTGAATGACGTGTTTGTTTACAAAAGCAATTACGCCCAAATCTCAAAGTTCTCTGGAAATGGTATTTAATGTGAAGGATGCGAAAAATATCGGAGAACGAGAAGAAAACAAACAGACACTCTCGCGTGATCATCGCCTACCTTTACTCGCTGGAAAAAAAAGAACAAAGCTGAGGGGATATTTGGTTGGTTCGAATCACGAGTACGTGTGAAATGATGTGAGATGGAGAGACGAAAGATCTTTCGCGATACGAAATGAAAATTTCTCTCGCTCTACGCTTTCATGAACTTTTTATCATCTCTCGTTCGCGAACTTTTTGTGAGAAGTTCCTTTGGGATTTATCTCTGCAATGAGCTGTGATAGAACTTTTTTTGAAAATGATTTTTCCAACACTGGCCACACATATGCTTAAGTGGTCCAGTAGGTATGATTGATGCCAGTGAATCAGCGACTGCCGGTTCAAATCCTGAAATGCAAAGGTAATTTTTAGACTTTTAATAATAATGTAAATCTATAAATCCAATTAGTCAGCAGCAGCACACCTTATTTGTTGCAGTCCCATAAAATATATAAGATATGAAGCGGTCTTCCATTTTTTTAAAAATAAAACTACCCAACTAACATTTTCTGCTTTGTAAGCCAACTTTTGCAGCGTTGTGCTGTGCTAGCAAAATTGTTTCGTAGAGCGTTTACTCAACTTTTTCACAACCATTATTCAATTTACCAATCTCACTGAATAACAACAGCCAATTAACGCTAATGTCACTTTTAGACACATCCTAATCAACTTTCAACTTGTAGCTACAAAACAAAGCTAATAAAGTGAATATATTACTCATTTGATGGCTTCTACACAACCAACCACTCTTGGTGAGGTTTATTTTTAGACGTGTGCAGTTTTACAGCTTTTACTCTGCTCCTTTACAAAGGTGAAGTAACTAGTCGAGAAAAGTGAGTCATGTGCACTATTATAAAGCCTGTACTATGCGATTTTGTTGTAGAAGGGCATGTTGATTTTTTCGCATCAGTTCAAAGTGTTGGCGTAGCACCGTTTTTAAAGTCAAGGATTGCCAATGCGGTCGTCTCGAGTTCGATTCCAGATTTTTCCGGTGCAGGGTAAATAATTTGGTGGTGTTGCTTGTAACTAATTTGGATTAATTTGATTTACAGCAAAATATAAACTCAATAAATTCCTTCATTAAAAAGTATCGTAGACAATATTTAACCCGACTTTCAAGACAAAGCTGTGTAGTGATTATTGGATAACCGGGAAAAGGTTGAATAAGCGCCTTTCAAGTCCACACACAACTAAAAACAGCAGGATAACAGCTGTATGTAAGCATTAATGGATATGCAATAAGAGCTTGTCCCAACCGTCCCAACAGCCATAAGTAGCTGACTAAGTTCGCCAGATTTGCATGTATAGAGGTTGAATAAAGGTTTCCTCATATCACATAACATTTTAATACACCTTGAGGCTGAATAAATTAAATGAGTAAAGCGTTTACTTTGCGAAAATTGTTAGTTAGGTATAAAGCTGAAAAAGGGTTGGAAAAGACTGTTATTTAATGCCTTAAAAAGCTTATAATTTATATAACTGCTAAGCCTTTTGCTGATTAAAATCACCAGATTTAGATGTTTAAAAGCTGAACAAAGATTAACGTGAACTATGTACAACAATTATTCAAACTAAGACTGAATTAAAATATAGAAAACTTCATGAATGTCCAGATAAGTTCAGTAAAAAATAGTGATTTAAGGCAAAGTTCCGTGAGCACTTATAAAGTTTATTAAACTTAAGGAATTGTGGAAGTGGCGCCGGTTTTGTAGTGGTAAGCGTGATTACTTCAA